ATGAGCATCAATAATTGTTGCAACATTCACCTTGATGGTTATGGGAGCATCAAATTTAGTGCCAATGATGGGCGTTAGCTCTATTGGCATTGGTGGGCGATGGCTATGTCGTTTTGGTGTTAAAGATGGGGATCGTGATCGTGATTATGTTGGTGTTAGCTTTGATGGCAGTGCTAAATGCTGACCATGGTGGTGATGATGAGGGTTTGTGTTGCTTGCAATGGAATGTATTAGATTTGAAGCATAATTAAGAAGCTCATTTTGATTATAAATTTGTTAAAAGTAAAATTTAAAAACGCATAAAGGCGATTTCAAAAAAAAAAGTAAATTTTTAGCTTGAATATTCGTGCATTCTTAAGGTCTAAAACTTTGTGTCAAAGTTGGTATTTGATGGAATGAATTTTCTAATCATTCATCATGCCATTAATTATGATAGACATTTTTGAAATCAACTATGACCATATTTTTTTTGAGAACGTAAGAGTTCGGATGCGAAGCAGATTTAAAAATTCAAGCATTATACAATGAAATTTCTATCATAATTATAAACCTAAAAAAACACAAGTGGTAAAGAATATAAATCGCATGGTGACATAACACAAACAACTTGAACTATTAAAAGTTTAAAACGGCCACATAGCATAATCAAGCTAATTCGTTAAGAACACGGCATTCTGGAATTTGCTAATCAATTAAACCTTATATTGTAATATGAAAGAAGCAGAAATTGACCCAGGTCCAATTTAGTTGATTTGAATTTTGACTCATTTTTGTAAACGGATCAAAAATTCATGATACATGGACCCAATCCGCTAGATTATTGAGTTGACCCAACCAGATCTATGAGCGACCAATATGAGCGGGTGCGAGACTGCTGGTGAGGTCGGAGAGCTCTAGCATCAAGTGGTATTGAGAGCGAGGGTGGACCACGTGAACACGTGCGTGACTACGACATGCGGGCGAGGGCCAACCGTGCAAGCGTCGAGCACGGATAGCGTGTGAGAGCGTTGAGCTCTACTGTCAAGGACAAGGACGCATTGCCGCGAGTGCAAGAGTGCGTCGTTCATGGGTGCGTGCCACGTGAGCGACTAGCAAGGGTGAGTCGCCTTGCGAGGTCGGGGACGTGTCAAATTCGGGTTAGCGGATTGATTCGGACCTAATTCTCTATTTTTCAATCTGGCCGGCTATCATATTCTAGAGATGATAAAATATAGTTATGCTTCAAGGTTTGCCTAGAATGATTAAATGAGTGTATTTTCTTCATGTTAACTTCATTAGTGGCAACAAGTCGATCAGAAACTTTACCACCAATTGTCGCTATCGCATAACCTTCAAAGTTCAAACAATCAATCTCATCCGCCTAGCCCAACTATGGTCCAGGCGAGTCATTCCGGAAGAGCTTTTTTATTATTTTGCTTTCCAGACACTATAATTTCACAATCAATTTCATAAAAAAAAACAGCGACCATCCCAACAGATTTTTATCTCATTAACAAACACAAATTGTTCGTAGTATTGCTTTAGCGTTTTAGACTTGGCACTTTGGGGCTTTTTGGTAGTAGGATTTAGTCGGATTTGAGCGAAATCCAGCCAAACGGCCTAACATACAAGTCCAAATCTCACGGCAAATGAAAGCTGCCGTACACGAAAAAATTATGTCTTTTCGTGCTAAATCCTGAATTTTCGAAATCCTGTTTTTTGCTGGGTTTACGAAATCCATTGGCTTGAGAGGAAGAGTCTGCTTGTTAAATTCGCTCTTGTTGCGGGCTAGAAAATACGCGGCGATAGAGGTTTAATTCTGCGTTTTAGCGTTGAACAGGTAACTAGCTCACAACTAGCTTTTGTCTCAAGATTCGTGCCCGATCAAGCTAATTTTTTGACAACGTATCTGCTCTATAGCCAAACAACCACACGAGATTTAATAGGATTTATCATGAATGTTACCAAACAATTTTCAGGATTTACCGATTTAGGTCCTTTAGGATTTTCGAAATCTGGATTTAGGGGATTTACGAAATCCTAGTTAAAACAAATTCTGGGTGCTACCAAACAACCCCTATGATTTTAGTTAAATCAATTAAGAGCAATAATCACGCATCCATATCGTAACCTATGAAAGCCTGCTGGTTTCAAATAGCAAATTCATACGTCTTAATTCTCCTCCAGCATAGTGGATCAGTCTATGACATATAAAATTTCCACACAGCTGCTTACGGAGCTGAACTTAAATTTACCTAATCAGCGTGCTAAGCACGGTTTGATTTTTCATCTAATTAGTCCACAGAGATGAATGATTACCTTAACTAATTAGTTTTATTAATTAATCTAACCATTAATTAGTGCCTCGATGATTAATTAACTGTCCCAAACAATTCGTCTACGTCCCAAATTATATATATATATGACTATGAGTAAACATAAAACTATGACAAATAACATATATAAATAAAGCTTGACGAAATAAAAAATTAAAAAAGAAATAAGAAATCCAACCTACCACTTCAGTTTGCCGTATCACTCAAGTCGGAGGATATATATTTCAGTCCTATATAAAGCCCCATTTTCCATCTTTTTTTCTCCAAGTACTTGGAAACAAAAAGAGTTCCCAGCTATGGCCTCTCCTGTTTGGCATTTCCTTTTAACATTTCTAATTCCGTTGAGCTTATTGAATGAATCTCTTCTTCTCTGCAACGCTGATCCCACTGATGGCTTTACTCTTCTCCCCTTAACTGACGCAAATTTTGAACTGCAGAAGCCATACAACATACCTTTAGCAGAACGCTATAGCTATGTTAATGGCGTTCACCGTATGTGGGTATACTCCACTGACAAGCCATTCAAAGCTGGAAGCCCCACAGATCCACGAACTGAGATTCGTATCAAAGTATATATATGCCAGCTTAATTTTTAATATATTTTGTAGATTTTTCATTCATGAATTTACTTTCTTAATCTGTTTGAAAATGTGTTGTAGGGCTATGATTATTCTAGCGGAATATGGCAGTTTGAGGGATCTGTTTTTGTGCCAAATGGGACAAGTGGCACGTCCATCATGCAAGTTCATCGATCAGACGGTGAGAAACCAGCTACAGATCTGATGCTAATGATTTTCGATGGAGATTTGAAGTTCTACTCAGGAGTGGTGGTGGAATCTAGTTTCTATAATAGATGGGTGAGAGTGAACGTGATACATGACGTTGATGCTAATAAGTTGACGGCTTTTATTGATGGGGTGCAGAAGCTTGAGGTGGATGGAAAAGGACCGAGTGATTTTTATTTCAAATGTGGCGTTTATGCACAACATGATGATAGTTATTATATGGAATCACAATGGAGAGATATCAAAATTTATAAGAAGGATGGATAAGACATGAAAAATATTTCATCAGTGATTTTATAATTAAAGTTTCATTTGGGACAGCTTTTTTATTATTTTTTAATACAAAAATCTATTAGTAGTAGAAAGAAAAAATAGTGATCTAAAGCTGTTCCAAACGAAACCTAAGAGGTCGAGAGATATATATGAATATGTTGTGAAAGTAGCTATCTAAAAATGTTTGTGTTGTGTATGTTTTATTATGAATTTACCATTAATTACGGTTTCAAGTACTATATTCTTTTTTTTTGGCATTTAAATGATGAGTATTAGTTAAATATCTTTAAGAAAATAAATTGCTACCAAAAATATTTTAGTAATATTTATTTCACCTTTGGTATTATATTTTAGTCATGTTCAAAATATGTGTGATTTTTAAACTTTTGTATTTAAAAATAAAATCTAATTTGATGAGTTAATTCTGACCTAATTTAAGTAAAAATCTTTAACCGGTAGATGTTCAGATGTTAACAGCTAGCGGTTGAAATCAATGATGGAACTCATTCGAAGTCCTCATAAGATATATAAGCCTAAGGTTTAAAGAAAATAAGCCAAATGATTCTGTTGTAGAAAACAATTTTGCACCGCTATTCAACCAAATAAAGGCTTCGTTTGGGACGGCTTTTTTATTGTTTTATAAAATGGGGTTTTAGTTCAAAAATAAAAAAAATTTGTACTAAAATTCTGTTTTAGAAAGCAATAAAAAAGTCGTCCCAAACGAAGCCAAAATGTTAGAAGTTGCCACCGGACTTTGCAATAGAAAAGCGCGCACTTTGTAAGAAATCTTAGGTCCACAATTGAACATATTTAGAATATTTTGAAGGTCATGGTCTGATGGCATTCACTAATATGACCTCATATCTTACACAGGAGAGAGGAATTTGAAGTGAAGCTAGTTCTAGAAGCAAGCAACTACCACAAAATTAAGGCTTCGTTTCGGGACGGTGTTTTAACTGCTTCTTAAAGTAATTTTTTAGTAAAAAAATTAATTTTGTATTAAAATGTTACTTTATAAAGCAATAAAAAGTCATGCAAACGAAGCCTAAATCTATCTATTATAAAATCAAAACGGAGCTAAGGTCTAACTCTAATTCTATTTCGTTGATTTTTTCTAATAATTATATCATAAAAAGCTCTTTCAACTTATATTGCATACATTGATTTTGAAACAAATCCCAATTTTTTTATTTATCTTGATAAATTTTGATTAGAATATCCAAACCTAATTTCTTTCAATATAAAAAATTAGAGCAATAAGGGGATGAAGAAATGGATAAAAAAATCAATTATAATTCTATATTAATAATAAATAAATATTAATAATAAATAATAAAAATTATAAATCTATTTTTTTTAAAGGCAATGGATTGCCTGTGCCCCCACAGGCCCCCCAACTCTGCCCATGGTTCTTACATTAGTTTAGATTTTATTTGAGATGGCTTTTTTACTGCTTCTCAAAATAATTTTTAATACAAAAATTTTAATTTATGTACTAAAAAATTGCTTTAAAAAGCAGCAAGAAAGCCCTCTCAAACAAAAACCTCAATTCTTTTTGGCATTTAACACTGATTTCGTTATTTTGTTCAAGTTCAATTGTGTAATTTCAAGCACAACAGTAACAACATCATCAAAAAACTCTAAAATTTATTGCAAAAAACTACAGATACAAGTCAACTCCAGGTATACATACGGACAAACAAGTCAAATCCAGGCACATCCAATAGCTAAAATCACTAATTCACCTTACGAAGCTAATCAAACCTCAGGCAGTTTTCCACAGTCATATCGCGCAATCCGTATAATCCATGGAAATACAAACCTGTAGAAGAACAAATCCCTGAACAATTTAACGGCGGCACTTGTCCACCGCCCGTCGGAACCCTGCTGCACGAACCCAGAAATATAAGAAGCTATTATGAGCCAGGTGGCTCGCCACCGCCGCTCGGCCGCGTACCGTGCCATCCCTTGTTCCATATCCTTGGGTGAATTCGCGTGGGCTAAGCACCTCGCGAGCACGACCGTATCCTCGAGTGCGACGCAGGCGCCTTGTCCAAGATCGGGCGTCGTCGGATGAAAGGCATCGCCTGCGACTGTCACGCACCCGCGCTGCAGTTGGCCGAAGAGCACGTCCCACGGCAGGCGATACAGGAACTGGTTCCAGGATAGGCTTGATGGCTCGGATTGCTGCGCGAATACTTTGAATTCCGCTGGTAAGTCGACGATTAGATGTTCTAATGTTGCGCGACGGATTAATTCTGGATCTCTGCCCATCTCGCTCACTGAAAATTATGTGAAAGGGTTAATTTGGCCGTCTCTTTTAGTTTTTTAGAGATCTGCGGAACGGTTTTATTCGAGTTTTGTTTATTAAATAGGTTGCATATTTTGATTTGGCTAAGTTCTTTACGTTTTTTTCTGAAATATATATCTTTACTTTTAGACTTTAGAGACAAATAAGATAAATTCACATAGATATGACATATATAAGCTTCTAAAGACTCTTAATTATTCTGTAGACGCCGAACGTCATTTGGAGATCAATTAGAATGAGCCACATTGGTACCGCACTCGATTTTGCTGATGTGGTTCATTTTGATTAGTCTTTGAATATAGAGTTGTGTTCGATGTCCATATAGAATAATTTCTGCTAAAGCAAAATCTTTTAATTGATAGTCACAAATCAAAATAAACGGCATTTCTTAAATTTTATAGTGAAAAGTATTTCACTATTTCTCATAATCAAATTTAATAATATGTAAAGTTTTATCTGATTTTTTAAAAATATAATATTAAAATGAAATTTTCTTCTCATAAAATGAATAAAAAATTTGTATATATATACCTTTAGGTGTGGTGGGATGGGTAACAAACCAGTAGACATCCTTATCATTGATGGGAACGAACCCTGCCCTCACCTCATTGAGAAGAAACTGCTGGAGTCCTGGTCTGAAGTTATGTCCTTCTGGGTATACGGCCAGGCCACGAACCGCCGACCGGCCGGAATCCCTCGGGCTGGCGAGGCCAAGCCACTGCGCCACCACCGAGTGCACGCCGTCACAGCCGATCACCGCCTGCAAGTAATTAATCCATTACAGTCTTAATCTTTCTCCTGTTAACAAATATATAATTGCCAACGCGACGATGAAGCTAATCATGTCAGTCAAGTTAATTCGTATAGGTACCTTAGCTTTTATGATGGCTCCATCGTCCAAATGCAGAACCATGATAGTTGATGAATCTGGAAGCGCTTCAGTTCTGATTGAGACGAGCTTCGAGCAGAACCGAATGGAATCAGGAGGCAGTTCCTCTGCCATTGCTTCCAACAACGCGGTTCTGTGAACTGATCTTGATCCCATCTCCTCCCTTCAATGGCAATATGCATCAAGGCGAAAGTTAATCGACTATCAAATTTCATTGGAATTTCTTGTAACTGTATTAATTTGGGTGCAGAAGAGTTTAGTAAAAGTTCTAGTCAACATTGTTTTAACTCTTTAGTTAGATTAATTAATTGATTTTGAACTTAATTCTATGAACTAGAATATTCAGATTTCAAAGTTAGCTCGTTTATTATGAATAACAACAACAACATCAAATCTTTGTCCTATTATATGGGGTCGGCTACATGAATCGTTGTTAAAAGTCAAATTCTCTTTTAAATCTAATAAAGAAATACCATTTTAATATTTTTTAACCAAGTCTTTTTAGGCCTATATCAACCTTTATTAACATAAGTCAAATCTAATATCTTTACTTTCCTAACTGGGTAATCAGAAGGCCACTCTTTTATGTGATCAAACCATCTAAGGCGACTCTCTCAAATCTTATCTTCCACCGGAACTACTCCAATCGTTTCACATATATGCTCATTTCATATCTAATCTCTAAGGGTAAAGCCACTCATCTGCCTAAGCATCCTCATCTCTACACCACTTAACCTATAATTATTACATATAAAAGAATTTTGATTTAAATAGATACTATAATAAAATGATAAAAAAATATAGAAGAAATAATAAAGAATATATAAAATAATGAGATCTAATTTTTAGATGTTTTAAACTTTTTAATTAAAACCCTAAATTATAATTTATTGTTAGAGCACTTTTTACCAATATTTTTAGAGAATCAATTGGATCTAAAGAGTCTGATTCAAGACTAGCATAAATTTGAATCATTAAAATATTTAGCTCAATGAACATGCTATTCATCCAGTTGAATTTGCATCGACTTATATATTTCCTTCTACAAAGCTGCTTTAGAAGCAGCAAGAAAGCCGTCCCAAACGGAGCCTAAAAACGAGAAAGAAGCTCAAGAAATGAACGTTACCTGCCGTCATCGTCCTCGTTGGGAAAAGACTGGGTCTGTGTAGCTCCGGTCGCAAGGTTAGTTACAGTCCCACTGCCATCCACACAATTTCGAACAAGAGATTAGTTAGATTATAGAAATATATTAGATTATTTGTGAGAGAAAAAGAGGGAACTGAGAGAGCATGGGGAGTTACGTTCGAAGCAAACGGTAGTGGGGCTTGAGCTTGTGGCCTACGCCGAGAGCGTCGAGGGCACACCATGCGTTGTGGGAAAGCGTAAGAGCAGAGCCGGTCTCCCGAAGCTCGCGCCACCGCTCGAGAACTAAGCTTTTCTTTCCGACCCGGCGAAGAGCAAGCGCTGTCGCCACTCCGGCGATCCCGCCTCCTACGATCACAATCTCCTCCACCGCCATTCGTCCTTTGGTTAAAACCAACAACAACAAAAGATTATGGAAAACTTAATATTGAATCTGGCTAAATCGAGTTGTGGCTTGATCGTATTCAATCCTTGTGCCTTGTAGGTGATTTATACTGAGAATTGAAGGGTTATGATCCATGGAATTAAAAAAATTTATTCCGTGCACGACAAGCAAGCTGCGCCATTGAACGCTGCTCTTCCGCGCAACACAGATGCCAAAATTGACTGCATTTGATCTTGTTACTCGCGGCCAACAATAAATCACAAGAAGAAAGATAGGATGAGGATTAACCGATTAAAATTTGATTAAAATGATGTTCGGTCTGTTACTAAAAATTGTTTTGATTGGGAAAGAATTTTGAGACATTAAATTAAAAATTTTTAAAAATTAAATTTACAGTCAAATAAAATGTCTTGATGAGACAAATCAAACAACATTGAAAATTGGTCCAATTTGAACCCCCCAATGAGTCCAAATCAATGGTTTGAAATGTAATTAGAAATCTCAGGATATTAATTGGATGATCAGATGATCTCGAAATTTGGCATGCTTATAGTTGAATCAAGCATATCAATAAGGTGAATCCAACAAGCTCAACATGAGTCACTCAACTCTGAAAAACATTATGGACCTAAAATGTTGAATGACTGCTTTATGATCAAGATAATAAATACATGCTATTCGATGGAATGTTTCGGATTATCTCCACATTTATCAGGTATGTCATTTCCAAAAATCTATAAACAGAGCCACTATCTACATGGAAGAGGATATTGGAGCCGGAGCTTGAACTTTGGCTTTAGATTTAAGTGAGCTTGGTTGTTCCACCTTCACCGCCTGCCGAGTATAGTCTTTTGACCTTCGTTGCTCACCAACTATAGTTCTTCGACATCCATCGCCTATGGTCTTTCAGATTATCATCTCACAACTATATTCTTTTCAACCATTGTCGCCTGACTGTGGACTTTCGACCACAATTGTCTGATTATGGTCATTCTGACCTCTATCATCCATCGATTAGAGTCATCCGACGACTATTGTCTGACTACAGTCCTTCGGCATCCTTGTTATAGACCTCCAACCACAATTGCTCGACTTTGAATCTTTGGACCTCCATCATTGGTTGACTACATTCATCCAACCACCATTTGCTGACTATATTCTTCGACCTCCTCCCCTGACTAAGCTGCTCAGACCATCTTGCTCGATTACCACCCTTCAACCTCAATCTATTGATGACATTCCTCAAACTTTTGTTGCCCAATTATGGCACTTAAACCTCCACCGCCCTATTGTGGACTCTCCATAATGATCCTCAAATCACTGTCAACTAATTATGGTTCTTCCGACATCCATCGCCCACCAAATGAATTCCTTCGACTTTTGTTGCCCACTATTTATATAGTCCTTTGGACTATCGCTGCCCACACATTACTATCCTTTGCACTACCTCGTCTAACTACATTCTTTGAATCACTGTTGCTTGACTACGGTTCTTGGACCACTGTCTTCAAACTACTATCATTTGCCCTTTGTCACCCAACTATAATTCTCGGGCCATCGTCACCTAGGGTTGTCAAAATTGGGTCACGGGTCGGGTTTGGGTCTTAACCCGAACCTAACCCATTTTTAAAAATGGGTCAGGTTTTCGGACCCAAACCCGACCTGCTTTGGGTTTGGGTCAACCTGACACGACCCGAAGCGGGATGCAGGGCACGGGACAACGGGATGCCTGACGCCGGACACTTGCGATTCGCGAAGCGGGATAGCTGGACACGGGCATATGGGCAGGCGGGGCAGGTGCACCTCGAGCGTTTGCATAGGCAAACTCGTGGCAAGCACGGTCAGATGGGTCATTCTTGGGTTTCTGGGTCAACCCAAACCCGACCCAGTTAGGGTTCAGGTCAACCCGAACCAAAATTTTTGTGTCAGGTTCGGGCCAGATTTTCGGGTCATCGAAATATTAACACCCCTATCGTCACCCAATTACGATCCTTCAACCATTGTAGCTTTATTATTTTTCTTCCAACCATTATCACTCGAATGCAGTCCTATGATCTCTATCGTCTAATTATGATTATATTAGGCTCACCTCCGGTTATTGGAAGGTTGGAAATATGTTCTATGGATCGAAAGAGTCACCGCATTAGTTAAAATATAGAGGAAAGGTGGTCAAGAGTGTGGACTAGTGGGGAACACGAGTCTCTGTTGACGCGTACGTACCTGTGGAAAAGTCGCGAGAGGGTCTTGCATTTGCATCCAGCTGCGTATCGGATCTGCCTTCGTGGATAACTATTTTATAAGGAATGTATTATAACTATTTTATGTGAAAGGGCTCAAAAAAAAAAAAAAAAGACCTGATTGATGTTTATTTTTTATTTTTCTTTTACCCGAAAATTGATATTTCGATGCATTGTTGGATTGAAAATTTATAAATTTAAGTTCAGAACCATCGAAAATTTTCTTTTCAAAAAATTATAATCAAATTTAACATCTCAATGATATGAACCCAAATTAGTAAAACATAATCCTATCTATGTCCGATTAAGCTCTGATCAAGCATAATGGTCTCTAAATCTCAAATGCTTATAATCAAATTGAGTATCTCGATGAGATGAATTTAAAAGTTCAAACTAGTCTAATTCTAGCATCATTGAGACACCTAAATGCTTAAAAAGTCTATGATTAAGGAAATTAATATTCACCGTTTAAAGAAGTAATCTAAATTTTGAGTATTTCACTTTGAAAAATTTATAATTATGCACCAACACTCTCAATGGGATAGGAGAGGAGGGGAACTATGGTCTTTTAATTAACTTCACCAACTATGATCATGTGATCACTATATAGTCTATGGACCTCTATCAACTAGCTACAGTTCTGTGACTATCATCGCTTGATCACGACCAATACAACTTCCAATTACTAATATATGAAGATTTCTAGATGCTTACTCGATACAACTTCCAATTACTTCATATCCTCTAGCATATAGATTGAATATCTAAAGATTTCTACAATAAGCCACGTAGAAGATTTTCAAGATGCTCATGATGATACCTAGTTAGTTTTTGTGTGTTTTCATATTGTCATATACTATATGAATATCCTTAGAACAAGATGCCCTTGCTCCGATTCACTAAGTTGTTATTCCTTAAGGCTCCCATATACCGAATAGATATATAATTCATCATTGAGGGGTGTCAATTGTTGACCTGACCTGAGCCTGGATCATAGGGGCTAATTCGGGTTCTATTTATGACCCATTTGAAATTAAGTCGGGTCAGGGTCAACCAACTAACTTGAATTTAATCCGATTGGACCCGAGTACTGTTCGACCACACCCCTCGCCCTAGCCACAACTTGTGCACCCGCTCCAATGCAGGTGATCATGGTCGCAATCGCGCTACTCTCTCATGCCTCGGCATCTACCTTGCATGCAGTCGTGCTTGTGCACTCGCCTCACCCTCACTCACCGACGATGAAACTAGCAATCGTGAGCTCACGTGCAAGCCTGCCTCACCCAAGTCATGCTTGAATTTGAGCTAACAAGCTGAGTTGGGTCGAGCTCAAACTCGAATTCGTATATCATAAAAGCTATGATATAAACTCAAACTCAAATTTAAGATCATGACAAGATATGCTCGACTACGAACTCATTAATAAATCACATAAGAGTCAACTTCAAAGACAGCTCGGCTCAACGCAACGAAGAAATGTTCAATACATCTAATAATAATGTTAGATAGCTGGATTTAAAGAATGTCTGCCACCTCGAGCTTCAACTTTAATGCTCTAGCTTTGCTATCTGCCCTGAAGCATTAGCACTACTGTTGAGAAGACCAAGAGGTCAACGGCCTTGTTGCCTTCTTAGACTAGTAGCCCAGACGTCTTTGTCGAAAAAACTTCAAAGTTTCTCTCATTAATAAATCACATAAGATATGGCCCAAATGGGCTTCCGATTTCCTACTATAAAATTACTTTTATATATTTCACCTTATTAAGAGATACGCGCTAAATCCAAGCGATTAGTATTAGTGCTCTATTTTTAAAGGTGATAACAAACAGCTTTTTATAATTGTTTGATATTTTTAAAGGTGATCATTTAAGTTTCATTTAGGACTGTTTTCTTATTATTTTTTGAAGTAGCTTTTTAGTCTAAAAGTTTTTTGAAATAAAAATTTTTGTACTTAAAAAGCTGATTTAGAAAGCAGCAAGAAAGTTATCACAAATGAAGCCTTATGCTTCGTTTGGGACGGCTTTCTTACTGCTTCTTAAAGCTGATTTCAACTAAAAAAGTTAAAGCAGTATGGAAGCTGTCCCAGCAAAGCCTTAATTTTAGGGGTGTCAATATTTGACACGTCATGAAAACCTAACTTGAATCCGACCCAACACGGTTTTGAAACGGGTCCTATTTGGGTTCCCAGTTTTGATCCGTTTGAAAAAATGGGTTTGGTTCTGGTTGACCTGCAGGGTTTTCGGGTCAACTCGATAACCCTTTTGAAAAAACGACTCGCTGTCCGAACCAGCCTAAGGCTACCCGAGCCTGTTAGCACCAGCACACGTTATGCCCGAAGCTGCCCGTGGCTGACCTCGCTAACCACACCTGCCAGTAGCCGCCCCTGTTGCACTTGAGGCTGCCCGCGCACACACACTAGCATCTGCGCCCGCCAACCGCCATCCCGCCGTCGCTGTCCGGGTCAATCATGTTGGGTCAGGTCAACCCGCCTAAACGACGGGTTGGGTCTGGGTCCGAATTCCCGACCCGTACATAACCAGGTCGGGTTATGGTCGATCGTTTAAACCTTGGTTAGTTCCGAGTTCGACTCGAACCCGACTCGAAACTTGGTTTTGACACCCCTACTTAATGTAATATTTTATTTTTTCAACTCCAGGATTTGGGACCTCATAAAAATGGTATTTTTAAAGGTGGTAAATAATGAAATTAAATTAAATAATCATAGTTATATTATGATTATTATTATAAATATATATTTGCTGTAAAATAATATCATTACAAGTATTGAATGATATGGAATTATGTTAAGTTGGGTTTTTAATAGCATGACAAGTTTTGTCCATTTAATTAAAATTTAAATCATTTATTAATCAAGATAATAAACTATATCTTAGATTACAAAATATCCATAAGTGCATGCTACAATTAGTAAAATGCACGTACAATATCACAAACTAAATATAATTATAAAGGTTATCTTCATCAGAATTTGGTTATGATGAAGTTTAAATTCTTAGATTTATTTTGAGAGCATTGCACGCATCTCAAAGCTAATCTAAAATTTTTTAAATATGTTTCGAACAATTTTTGGTCTATTATATTTTAACCCAATTGTATTCTTATAATTACATTATTTTGATTTGAGTTTTTTTAGTTTCAATTAAATAAAAATCCTTTAAAAAATAAACCATTTATGGTTGATGCAATAATAAATTTAAAAGTTCAATTTAAATATTTATTAAATTTTTAATGATTAAAATGCACTAATTTTGTTATAAAATATAATAACAAGCTAAGTCTTCACTTGATTTTTATCCTAACGCTATCACAAACATGCATAAGAATAAAAAAAGAAAGTAATAAAAATATTATAATAAAGAAGCATGTTTTTAATAGTGGGGATAAATCTCATTCATAAATACTATATATATCTCTATTAAATATTAGATATATATGATAATATTAATATGACAATATAATAATTCTCATAATTAATAATTTTGCACTTATAGTATGACAAATATAGTAAAGATATTATGAGATGAATATATTTTCTAAATTTTATGTAATTAGCACTTTTTTATAAAGAAAATTATTTATATCATTGAGAAAAGATAATTTCTTTATTTAAATCATTCAATTAAATGAATTTTAGGCACAAATCAAACATCCTTTTGAGTACTTTAGCCGGTGGTATTTAGAAGCTTAGGAAATAAAAATTATTATATTAGGAAGAATTTTAAAAACGATTTATGGAGCTTTAGTTATTATCTTTTTTATTAATTTAAATCAACTAAATGATGGTCATACTGATTTCTATTATCTTTTTGACATTTTATTAATTTTAAAAAGGATTTATGGAGCATAACTAAACTGATAGATTTTAAATTAATTTCATTTTACATTTTTCAATTTAAATAGTATACTTATTTAATAAAAAAATTATAAACAAACATAGCCAAAAAAGACAATAAGCACGACAAAAGGGTTCAAGGTAGTGAGTGACTATATTATGTAATCATTTTTGGTTAGATTGAAGAATCCAGCTAATTGCAGTTGTTTAATGCTTGTGAGTTGATGCTACACAGGCTAAATCTGACCTAAATTTGGTTATAAATAGGCTCAATTTAATACCAATTCAAACAAAAGTTAGGCTTTGTTTGTAACAACTTTCTTATTGCTTTCAAAAGCAAATTTCTAATACAATAAAATTTTTTGTATTAAAAATCTATTTTAGAAAGCAATAAAAAAGCTATCACAAACGAAATCTTATGCTACTTTTGGGACCGCTTTCTTACCGCTTCTTAAAAATATTCTTACTGCTTCCCCACGCATTCTTCACAATCTGGGTTCTATTTTTTGTTGCCCTTTGAAAACCGATAATGCCACTACCGTTGGTTCTTGACCATCTGTTGCTAGGATGTCTCCAAAAATTATCGTGAGGCTATTTGGAAAGGGCCATATACTTTAGGTAATGTTCAAGTGATTGTTATGGAGGAATTTCCTCCCTTCTGTGATCATTACAAGTCTTTGGGGCATACTAAATCTAATTGTCAATTTCTTCACCCCCCATTTAGATAGGATTTCTCAGAAAGTTAATTTAGGAAGGAATGATATTGTTGCTTAACCTCTTATTGCTGGAACTACAGCTAATACCTCTTTGCTCCCTCCTATCTTTGATGCTGGATTAACTGTGGATAATTTGGATTCTGGGCCTTTGCATTCTATTAGGCATGTTGTTTTGGCCATCCTTAACTCTTCTCCTAGTATGCATGTTGGTGATTCTAATGCTGTGAATATTGATCGTAGCAGTGATGAGATGGTTGGCAATGATGTGCTAGTTCCGATGGTTATCTTGACCCACTCTCATTGTGGGTCTCCTCTGGGGAAAGGGGATTGTTCTGGTTTGGGTGGTAGCCTGGTTTTATCTCTTGATTGTGATCACCAACTTGTTGTTCTCCCAAATGAAGTTGTGAATGATTTTAAAGATAATGCTCCTTGTGTAGATAATTTAGATGTTGGCAATGTGGTTTTGTGTGATATTAATAGAGTTGATTTAAATGTTTCCTCTAATGATTTGGTAATATTTTCTGGTGACTCTTCCATGGATGCCATAGGGGTGATGCCTATCACTAATGTGGTTAATTACGAGGATGTTATTGATGTGCTTATCTATATTATCTCGAAGGATGATATGAATGCTCGTTTAGCTTTAAAATTGAAGGAATATGGTGTGGATCATTAAGAATGGCGGGATGATTGTTCTTCTTTGGCTAGCCGAGGTAATGGGGATGACAAGATTGTGCCAACGGATGATTTGAAGGTGATTCGTGTCGATGATGATGCTTTCAGGCTTGGTGGTAGGAAGCATAGTACGGGAAAAACAAAAATAAAGCTAAAAAGAAGTAATTCTTTGGTTCGGTTGTGTCCTTTGTTGGGCTCTGCTATATTTCCTGCACTCGAGTGGCTTGTCCCTATCATGGTTTGGTTGTCCGGGCTATGGGGTTTTCTTTCTTGCTATGTTGGGTTGCTCCAGTTTGGTATCTTGTTGAGGTTGTTTGTTGTGGTGTTGGTGGTTTTGAGTTTTTGGTTTTAATATTTTCTTTTCTTCGCTGTCGTGGGTTTGTTCCTTTTCTCCTACAAGTTATTGTTGGCTGGTTATGATGCTGTTGATCGGGTTGCTGTTTAGCCTCGAGTTGGGCCATGGTTTGATTCCTCTGCCTTTTCTGCTCAATGTTTCTTTGCAGGTTGCTCGTGCCTGACCTTCTGTTGGACTTAGTTGTTTTTTTGGGACCTCTACTGATTGAAGGTTATTTGGCAGGTTTTAAATTTATTTTTGTATAATTTTTATAATTATGTTGATTCCGAGTCTCTTAGATTTTGATACAAATATTATATTTTAGCAAGCTTTTGAGTCATTAAAGATTTATAATTTTGCTTTATACGCATAGACATTTTCCATGGGATTTTAATACATATATTAAAAAATAAAAATAAAAAACACAGCATACATGCATATATACACGCATAGCTAGCAGGCTTGACCTAATTCAAATCCCGTCAATTCAAATTCAATCCAAGCCCACTTTTGTTTTTTGGTTCTATTCTGTGTAATTCTCAATATTCGAGTCAAATTAAAAGCCCTCCAAAGAATTCTAAGAATCATTCTGAGGGGAACATTTTATATTATGATATACTGACAAAAATGAAATAAATTTTAAATATATTTTAATATAAATAATTAAATATAATATATAAATAAATTATATCATACTCATCTCAAAATAATTTTTTAAAAATACTGTCCTCGTCAAAAATTTAATTAAGATATCTATCCTTTTTCTGGTATTAGATCCGACTACTCATCAAAACAGCAAAACATGGCAAATTCCCATTGGTCCACCTTTCGCCTATCACAGCAATCAGAAATTCACAAATGCATTAGATAATATCAACTAGCAACTAAGGATAATTACTATATAGCATAAAATCGAAAAAAAAATATTCCAACAACAACAACAAAAAAATTACAGTCTCAAAATCCATTTTTGGATCAGAGATATAAAAATGAAGACTACCCGGTGGCGCTACTCAGGCTTCACCTCAGTTCATCAGTGCTTCGCCTGGAACCCGCCCCTGTTCCGCGCAAAGAAGGCATTTTTGGGTTTGGGGATTTCATGAATATCCATAACCTGAATCGTCCTTTGCTTTCTCGCTTCAAACCAAACAAAAAAGAAGAAGAAAAGCAGGTTAATATAACAAAAAAAAGTATTACTTCATAAAAAACCAACAAAAAAATACCATTTTTAACTTCTTCGTAGTTTTCATGAAGCCTCTTCCTCGCTGAAGCCAACCTATCCGGGTCTAGAAAGTTATCATTCTCCTTCGCTTTCTGTTAATCAAATATCAAAAACAATTTTTTATTTTTGGTGGTTAAACTTTGATTGACCAAAATTACAACCAACAAATGTAGAATGATTCTACATTATTCGCCAACAATGAACTTGATTTCAAGCAATTTGAATGGAGAATCATGTAAAAATTTATTCTTTTTAGGAAAAAAAAAAAAGAGAATCTTTACAGCTATTGCAGCAGAAGGGGGAGTTGAGTTGATAGGCTTCGGTGGAGCTTCTCTGCGTGGAGGAGGCCTTGCCTTGGCTTCTACTGATTCCATGTTATTTCTCTCTGGTTGCCAGCTGCCATCTGAAAAACAGTAACAGTTGCTAAGTAAAAGAATCGCTTTCAAAATTTCCACAAGTTTACCGGCACTTACTTTGAGCGTGCGGATTGGGTGAGTAGGTCGAATCCGGAGTCTGAATTAGACAATTCGCTGTTAATAAATGAAAATTGAAATACTCTTAGCATTAATTGCAGGAGGATGAGATAACCTGATTGCCGTTCTGGTTGTTCTTGGCTGGCATTTGCTGGGGAGAGTCTCCATCAGCTGCAGTGGATTTAAACGAAAATTTTCATTTTTAGAAAACGAAATGAGAAGAAAAAGAGAAGTTAGCATTAATTTGAATGAGTTCGACAACGCACTTATGATTGCAGGGGACGAGTTATCGTTTGCCGAATTCAATTTCACCCACTCGTCCACAGTCTCCTTCCACTTTCTGCATAGAATTATAAGTTAGTTCCGATCAGAATTTCAATTTCGGAGAAAGAATGGAGGTCAATTTGACACCCTAACCTGACGAGCTGCTTTACAAGTCTTTTTACTTCAGATGATGGATGCTTCCGCAGACCGTTCACATGCCTGCCGATATCGGTTTCCTGATTCGAAACAGGCAAAAAAAAAAAAAAAATCTCAAAAGAGGCAAAAAGGAAAGTGATTAAACTATTTCTTTGATTTATACAACAGCAACCTTGAGAGCTTTGAAGGTGATATCCATGTCGGCGAGATTTTGCAGCAGGCTAACCAGAGAATCATCAGACTGTTCGACGAAATTCCTCAATAAACGAATGGAACTCATAAAACAGATATGAGCTATAACAAGAAATGTTCTATTAACCAAACCTGATCGTGATCATCGAGGAAATCCTTGATGGCGAGAATCTTGGTCTGTTCATCATCCATAGAGCGATAATTCCTCCCTTCGTCCTCATCCTCTTCCTCATGCTCATCTACCTCTTCTTCTTTCCCCTTCAACGGCCAGCGTTTCCCCACGGGGCTACTGCTCCCCTTCAATCCCGACACCTCCATCTTCCCATCACAGTTCTGGCAACGTCCATCCGCCAGAGAATAGAGCCTCTCGACGATCCCGTCTCTACGCTCCTTCAGCTCCCTCCCGTGCTCCGCGGCGGCAACAGCGATCGCCGTCTCGATCAGTGTCCATAGATCCACGCCTGTGGTTCTCAGCACTGACCTAAGATCCTCTGGATCCATCGACGCTTCCTCCTATCCCTCTTCCGTAACCTTAGATCCAAAGAATCCGCCGATACGCCTCTATCGATTTCATCAGAACAACAACCAAATCCGCCGTAACCAAAGAAGAGGGCCAATTACCCCCACCCACCTGGAGCTTGCCGGATAGCGAAAACCTTCAGAAAATTCTCTGCAAAGAAGGCGAAGTCCGGATCAAAGCGAAGCACGCCGTTTCACTTTCTAGGTATTTTTGGTGTTCTATGTTCTCAGTATCTTCTGCTCAGAAGGCGGAGAATAGAGCTGAAGAGAATAGGGAAGGTGGGATACAGCGGGTTGCGTATATAATTTTAATATTTTTTTTTAAGGCTTTCCTTATTGCGGTTTCTGGGGTGCGTTTTTTCGGTTTGATCCCTCCCTTTTAGTTTTATTATATTATAACAGAACCTTCTGCGGACTTTTCGTCGTTGCGCGTTTCACCCTCAAAACGTGGGCAAGGGTGGCGTCTCTCTCCGTTCTATCTTCGAATAGCCGTAAAAGACATCTGATTGGCTCAAATTTGGATCGGAATAAGTTTTATAATATTTAATTTATATTTATTAATTATACATATATTGAAAAAAAAAATCTTTCATGTGTGAAATTATAGCATGTTTCTAACATTTGATTATTTTCATTAAAATCCAAATAGTTCTCCCCCAACTTTTCAATAATCATTTGAGCACCTTAGAAGTTCTCATTTAAATTCTTAGATCTAAGAATTGTGTCAAGATCAATGCTTGGTCATCTGAATTTATGGGAGATATATAAATTTTCCCCTAATTTCTTTATATTAATATTTATTTATTGAAAATGAATTGGAGTTTAAAGATATCACAATTTTGAGAAAATTATGAGGTGTAACTACTTTCTGGATGTCAATATGAACCTCCTCTTAGTTATAAACTAAGGCTTTATTTGGGGGGCTTTCTTATTGCTTTTTAAAACAACTTTTTAGTATAAAAATTTTTTGAATTTGAAATTTTGTACTAGAAAGCCGTTTTAAAATGCAGCATGAATGCTGTCCCAAATGATGCCTAAATAATTATCTTTCGACCATAATTTCGTGCAAGAGAAAATAACATCTATTTCATTACCTTAATAAGATACATAATAAAGTTGAGTTGAGTTATGTTACATTAGATAAACTAGTTATTACACTTGAATCAACCTCTAATAACTAGCTCATCTAATGTAGCATAACTTAACTCAATTATGCTTCACAGGAAAAAAAAAATTTTCAACTGTGCTTTGAAGTTTGTAAGGCCCCAAAATAAAATTTTCTCTTTAAATAAACTTCAAAGATACAAATAATCAAGCCAAATACCTTATCTTATTGTTGGCATCATAGTATAATAATTAGAACTTGATACGTCACCAAAAATAGTCTCGATCAAGCATGGTTTTTTCCCTTTCCGGGTTTTCCACATAAAAAATATTGTGTTCTTTGTGTGCGAGCTGGATATCCGTGCAATGCTAAGACGTAGAATTATAACTCTATCGCCGCGTATATTCTAGCCCGCAACAGAACTCTTTAGCAACTCCAACTTGTAAGGGACCATGCAATCGGGAAGTAAGAAGTTCAAGATTACATAATAGAAAACTATCACATGAAGGTCCTCCTTATAATACTCTGAATTTATATTCTATTATGATTTAGCTAAAAAGCAAAAGAGTTAAATTTATATTATTTTCCTTTCATATTTAAATTTTTAAAAAAAGTTTGACAGTAATTTATTAATGAAATAAATTCATAAATTTTATTTTATTTGTGAAATTTGAGAAGAGTTAATGTAAATGATAATTAGTTAAAAATAATTTTTATTTGAAAATTAAGATTTTATCATATTTTCTACTCAATTTAAAGTTTGTACAATATATGAAATAATAATTTGTGAGTCTAAAAAGGGAGTAAAATGAATTATAGGTTTTAATAAGTTCTCATTCAAATTAATGCATAATTTAATTATTTAAATAAAAATTAAATTAATTTTTTTATAGAACTAATATTGCATGCATACCTAAGATAAATTTTAGTAATCAAGAACCTTAAAAAAAAAGCAAAAATATATTAGTTTCATGTGCATTTGTATGTAAAATTATTGTATAAAATTTAAGATTAATTTACTATTATTAATTAATATAAATTTATCCGTTTGTTAACAAGATAAAAATAGAGCAAGAAATTAAAATAAAACTAGCTGGCTTAAAATTTTTGCATGAATTATGTAAGACTTTTATTTTCATTTTTTTTGGTTTAATTTTAATATAATTTTTGAACATATCAATATTTTTTTCTACACTCGGTCCTAGCTAAGGGATCTATCCAAGTCACTAATATTCAAAGAATTATATAACATGGTCATAGAGTCATAAATGAAGAGACTTTAGCCTTATTGGGAATTTGGTCAACATGAAATTATATTTAGGTAGGCTTTGTCTGGGATGGCTTTTTTAATGTTGTATGAATCAACTTTTAGTACAAAATTTCATAGTTTAAAAATTTTTATACTAAAAAATTGCTTTATAAAGCAATAAAAAAGTCATCCCAAATAAAGCCTTAGTCTAAAATGTTTGAGCTCGGTCTATTTTATATTTGATATCAACATGAATATCATCGGGGAGAAGAGCTGGTTATCAACTTGACTACTTGAGTTTTTATACGAACTTAAATTAAGGAACAAAATTACAAGGCACATAAATAGGCATGTGATATGTAAGGTCAAGGTTGAAGGTCAATTGCCACATCGAAAGGTTTTCTTTCGTAGGGAGTTAAAAGTCAAAATGAAGCTTAACAAATATGCAATATTTTGGTGGACCAATCGGCAAGGTGCCTCAGTCTCCATCATAATTGGATTAACAATATTATTACATGAAAGATAAATGAGAAATACCACCAGCGAAAATCTATATCTACTGAGATGAAATATAATTACCCAACTGGGGCGATATCTTAAAGATGAATAGTGATCGATATCATCTCTAGCCTAGTTGCCAAATTCGTAAGGTGACATAGTGCAATAGAAATGTGCACTATTGAAGTAGGGTATTATAAAAACACAAGGAAGACTCAAAAGATAGAGAGAACCCCTCCCTTGTGAATTTGACATATTAGTTTAGGTTTGAATTTTTTTCTATTTGATATGGGAGGTGAGTAGAGAAATTGGGTTGTTGTTGGATCAATATGATAACATTAATAAATTCTTATAGACATATAGTTTTAGATTAATACACTTTATAAAGTGATGATGCTAGTGTTGGGTAAGTCAGACATTTGGTTATAGTAACTATTCTCATATTTCATTTGAAATTTTTAGGGATTTAAAGTTTTTAAAATATTATTCTTAAATTAACTACATCTTGGGTGGTACCCAAAAAAACTAATAATTAGAGAACCTTACTTGTGTTTCATTTGCATTTATTACAATGTGATTGATCTCTTATTAAAAAAGTCATTAGACTTAACATAAAAAATAAGTTAGAGTGAATGAGCATTAAGGCATAATCAAATAAGCTGCAAGCACAATCATATGATTAGGATGAAAAAAATCTAAGGAAGGAAACTTCAATGATAATGAGACTTATATTCCAAAATATTAAACAAATTTATACATCAAGAAAGCCCAAAATTGTAATTTATAAAAGTTATTAGGGAATGGGAGCTCTATAACCCGAAAGGCTACCAAAAAGAGTAGGATAATGAAAAATGACCGTAGATGATAATAGTGAAAGGAAGGGTGATTAAACCAAAGAAAATAAGAGAAATTAATTCTAAAGAAGGTAGTCAAATCTAGAAAAGCAAAGACTGATTCTAGGGAGAGAAATCTAGCTTAAGGAATATGATGACTAAAACAGGGAATGACTTGCTAAATTTAAATAAGGAGACATCTAAACCTATGAATTGGATGACTAACCTTAGGAAAAGGTTGAATGTCCTCAAAATAAATTTAACAAAAAACTTAAAAATTAATTAAATTAAAATAAAAAATATTTAATTTTAAAATAATTAACTTAAAATTGTTACCGGCAGAAATAAAAAATATTAACTTAATTAATTCAATAATTAACTTAAATTTAAAAATAAAAATAAAAAATTAAAAAAATTAAAATTAAAAAATTCAATAACTTAATTGATACCGGCAGAAATAAAAAAAAATAAAAATTAATTAACTTAATTAATTCAATAATTTAAGCTATATTTTAAAATAAAAATAATTAATTTTTATTCCGTCGGAAATCCACCGGAAAATCCGCCGGAAATGACTTTGAAAAAAATCCGTCGGAAAATCAATCAAAAATTATGTCGGAAATTCGGTGAAAAAAATCCGTCGGAATGCCGCCGGAATTTGCGACGAATTTATTTCCGCCGGAAAATCTGTCGGAAATGAGCTGTTTTCCTGTAGTGATAAAAATATGAAAGAAAGAATGTCAAACCTAAGTAAGAGAAACTATCCAAAGAAGAATTCTAACTTAAGGGAAAGGCTCTGACATAAGGGAAAGGGAGGACTAATCTAAGAAGGAGGAAGGAAACTAAGGTTAAAATTCTATAGTTGTTCATCATTTTGTGTCATCATAACACGTAGTCTCCTTAGTTAGAAAAGATATGATAAGAATTATCTAACTATAAGGTTTGGTCATTTCCAAAGTGGCTCATTGATATTTATGGTGGTGAATGAGAAGCTATTTTTTCTTTTAATGAAAGCAAAAATTTCAAACCTAAAAGGAATAGAAGGCTTGCCTTGGCTTATGGAAACCTTGTAAGTTAGATTAAACTAGCCTAAGAGTTCTAAAATAAGCCTAAGAAATTTTAAATGGTATGGTCCTAAATGATGGAAAGATCTTATTTTTGATTGACTAAAGAAGTATAAGCCTCAACAATGATTAGCCCCTTGTTTGATTCTTCTTCTATGAGCTAAAATAGCTTGTGTATAAAATATTATAGTTAGATGTTCAAGTGTATGCTTGGAATTATTTTTTTTATCAATTTTCCTCTCTCTCTCTCTCTATCTCTCTCTCTCTCTTAACTTAGTAATTAGATAGAGGTGCCTAGAGATGTGTTCCATAGTCTTAGATGGTTGGATGGAGCTATTATTATATGTCCTTATCGAAATAATAGTTTAATTAGTTCAATTTGACTTTGGGATTGAAATAAACTCATCTTTAGCTTTTTTAAGTGTAGGGTTTTAGTAAGATCTTAATAATTTAGCTAGGTGGGTAGTGAGTCTAGAAGGTTCTTGAGGCTCTAAGACTTCTAAGGATTGTAATTGGATAGCCTAAGTTACCTTAAGTAAAATTTAATCACCCCATTTAACCTAGT